TGAAATAATCTGCCTGTTAACAATTGTTGGAAAAATTACTTGTGTCATGCACAAAGTAGATGTCCTAACCGACTTGCCAGAACTATAGTTTGTTAACAAGAAATTTGTGGAGTGGTTGAAAAACGAGTTTTATTGACTCCAACCTAAGTGTATGTAAACTTCCGACTTCAGCTGTATGTATTTATTTACAAAAAATATATGGAGGATTGGAAATTATGCTGACAGTTGATGGAAGCTACAATCAATCTGCACTATTAAAGCTGATCTACCCCCCCCCCCCCCACCCACACACTTTTAGTTGAAAACAATCACTGTAAGGTACCTTATTGTTACCCAGAAATGATTTGACATTGAGATAAAAAGGGCTGCATTGAACCTTTAATACTGTTGGTTCTGATATCCTCCTTCACAGCCCAATCTAACCCTGGAGAAGGAGGCACTTTCTGGGGAGAGGCCCCAGCGGATCCCTGGCTGCCAGGAAGAAGCATAAATAGCTGTAGGAGCTGGAGCTGTCAGACTGACGAGTACGCTGACTTCACAGGCAAAGGAGTAGAGTACACCACCACCATAGTGGGAGATGAGACCAGCTCTGCTGTGCTGAGTATTTAACAGGTGGGTGGGCCACACTGGACATGTGTTAGTCTGATCATCTATGTTAGCAATTATATTAGATTAGAGATTTTATTCATTACAATTGGGTCCACCTGTCCATAATATATGTCTTAAATAGTGTTTTGGTAGTGGATAAGTGGGGTGTTTGAGTTTTCCATGTTGTCCACAAAACATCATGTGTAGATTGTGTGAGTCTATCATACTGTTAGTAGTTTATGATCTGACCCAATGTGACTGGTGCTGTTGTAGGTGGTGGTGCTAGCTGACCCCAACGCGTCCTCAGCCTCCTCCATCAACATCACAGTGACCCCCATCACCTCCTATGTCCCTTCCCAGTTCACCAGCCTGCAGCCCGTAGCCATGGGCCACCTGACGGCCAGCGACCACCGGCCCTTCACCCTAGACCAGCTCCATCCTCACAGTCACCTTCAACGCGGTCACCGGCTCTGCAATGCTCCACAACGGGGCCCACCGAGCTCACAGTCGAGACGGTGGGGCCAGGTGGTGGCGGAACTGGGCCACAGTCGGTCACCCACTTCAGCAACCTGACCACCTTCGTCAACCCAATGGGCCAACCCCTGGAGGCCCGCACCTTGGCCTGGAAGCCCGTCAGGCAGGCTGAGGGGGTCCAGGTCACCCCTGTGGTGGAGGGGGCTCCAGGTGACGCTCAGGACTCTGAGACCCAGAGCAGGCTAGACAAGCCCAGGCAGCACAGCAGCAGCAGCAGGCCAACACAACACAGCAGATGTTCAGCTACTAGACTGGAGAGGGGAGGTGCTGGTCACCTCACAGTCCTGGTGAAGGATAGTGGATAGTCTAGACACATGGAAGGCCGATTCCTATTATGAAGGCCTATGTGGACTAGAGGCCTTGAACGCTCTCACCGAAATGCCTATGTTACATTCCCCAAAAATACACCCCTGGAACAAGAGCACATTGAGAGAACATTGATGGAGGATGATAGCATTTACAAGAACCAAGAGCCATTTTGTCTTACGTCAACATGAGTTGTTCCTTTCTTTTATTGTCAAAAACCCCCACAGAGGAAGCTGTTTACAGAGATGGATGTACAGTAAAAAAAATTTTTAAAAAAATGAAATTATTTGGGTGCATTATTTCTTTGGTCAAAACTGCACGGTTTGACTGATCAACATAAACAAAAGCAAGATATTGAATTTTCGAATGCCTTATAATTTGTGAATTTAAACATGCATGTCTCACAATATTTACATACACGATATACAAAAGAATGTGGACACCCCTTCAAATTGGTGGATTCGGCTATTTCAGCCACACCCTTTGCTGACAGGTGTAAAAATCGAGCACACAGCCATGCAATCTCCATAGACAAACACTGGCAGTAGAATGGCCTTACTGAAGAGCTCAGTGACTTTCAACGTGGCACCGTCATAGGATGCCACCAAATTTCTGTCCTGCCAGAGCTGCCCCGGTCAACTGTAAGTGCTGTTATTGTGAAGTGGAAACGTCTAGGAGCAACAACGGCTCAGCCGCGAAGTGGTAGGCCACACAAAGTCACAGAACGTGGCCGTCGACTGCTGAAACGCGTAGCGTGTTAAAATCGTCAGTCCTCAGTTGCAACACTCACTACTGAGTTCCAAACTGCCTCTGGAAGCTACGTCGGCACAATAACTGTTCGTTGGGAGCTTCATGAAATGGGTTTCTATGGCCGAGCAGCCACACCAAGCCTAAGATCACCATGCGCAATGCCAAGCGTTGGCTGGAGTGGTGTAAAGCTCGCCGCAATTTGGCTCTCAAGCAGTGGAAACGTGTTCTCTGGAGTGATGAATCACGCTTCACCATCTGGCAGTCTGACGGACAAATCTGGGTTTGGCAGATGCCAGGAGAACGCTACCTACCCGAATGCATAGTGCCAAGTGTAAAGTTTGGTGGAGAAGGAATAATGGTCTGGGGCTGTTTTTCATGGTTCGGGCTAGGCCCCTTAGTTCCAGTGAAGGGAACTCTTAAAGCTACAGCATACAATGACATTCTAGACGATTCTGTGCATCCAACTCTGTGGCAACAGTTTGGGGAAGGCCCTTTCCTGTTTCAGCATGACAATGCCCCCGTGCACAAAACGAGGTCCATACAGAAATGTTTTTTCGAGATCGGTGTGGAAGAACTTGACTGGCCTGCACAGAGCCCTGACCTTAACCCCATCAAACACCTTTGGGATGAATTGGAACGCCGACTGCGAACCAGGCCTAATCTCCCAACATCAGTGCCCGACCTCACTAATGCTCTTGTGGTGAATGGAAGCAAGTCCCCGCAGCAATGTTCCAACATCTAGTGGAAAGCCTTCCCAGAAGAGTGGGCTGTTATAGCAGCAAAGGAGGGACCAACTCCATATTAATGCCCATGATTTTGGAATGAGAAGTTCGACGAGCAGGTGTCCACATACTTTTGGTCATATAGTATTTTACAGAATTATTTCAGTTATTGAAATGCAAAAAAAAGTGTATGACTTTTAGGAATTATCTGATTCACTCATTGGGGGTTAAAAGAAGAATATGAAATGATTTTGGCACATGACTTTGAATGCCTTGCACAAGAGATTTAAAGAAGAATTAGATGATAGAGTCTAAGCGTTCTTTATGAGTAGATCATGGGTGTAGAGCAGCCAAGACACAGAGCATTTAACCAGTAGAGAAAATCACATTTATTTTTTATATATCTGAAAGCATTGAAGTGTTAGAGTGTTGTTGAGCAATTGTCAAAGAAATACTGGAAGCCTTTTTTATAGCAATTGTTTTTCAATGAAATGTCTCAAAAATTAAATATGTGTTTAGCGCAATTCTGTTTCTGTCTAAATATCAACGTATAAATTAGAAAATATAATGCACTGCAAAAAAAATATTTCTAGCCTGGGTTCTGATTTACCCAACTGGCAAACTCGGCTGGCTGGCTGGTATCATTGTAATCAGATTTATGTGTTTGTCTGTTTACAGAATGGGGGTCATCTTCCCACAGCACTGCCCAAGGCTCCAATAACTCCCTTCATCTCATATGTCTGTAATGTATGCATATCAAAAGAACCAGTCTTTCCACCTGTTGTACACCTAAATCTTCCCACCAGGAATCAGAACCTGGATCAACCATAGGGGAGCGCTATCTTCACAAATATGATTTATCTGAGAGAGCCCAAACAGAGCACTTGACATCTGCAAAAATATTCTGTCTAAGAAAGGTGTTTAAAGGAGCATGATAGGGGGCCTACAACTGAAATAGGGCATCTGTATGGATCTGGCTATTGTCTCTTTCTACAGTCAGGGGCCAAGGTGTGTCAAAACCCACAATAAGGCTAAACATCCACACTTAACACGAGGTGTGGACTAGATGGACCATCATCTTAAACGACCCTCATTCTCAGGGTTCACACCTTCAAATGTTGTTAATGTTAATGTCCCTATGAGATATGTGAAGTGTTTGTGGTGTCTATTAGCCCAAAGCATTAAACAATTAGCTCTGTCTCCGTGGTGATGTGCATCACAATGGTGTGAAGTAGGATGCCTCATAAACTACTAAAATCGTATAATTATTTCCTACGTGGCTACATTTACATCTTGTCACTCCTGTATGTTAATAGAAATCAGGATAAGAAGTTCTGTCGATCGAGGGGGTCTGTGGAAACTCAGATTGAAAAGGGATACTATTGTAAGGAAAATCATAGATGTTTTGGGGATTTCCCTCAGAATATATAAACCAATATAATCCAAAGAATTTAACCCATTCCCATTATGAATCATACTTCTTCATTCATGGAGGAGCTTCTATAAACGTGATACTTTTGAGAAACAATTATTCTCTACTAATAGTTATTGTTCATCATGTTTTGTTGATATATATGACATCTGCTGAATGACTGGCATGTCTCACTCAGTGTGGACAGGAAAGGAATCAGGCAGGTGTATGACAAGGCTTGTGGTTTTGGATACCTCATATGAATAGGCTAGTATACTTCTCAGATGAATCCACACATTCCAAGCCAGAGCCATATGGGCAATATCACGTAACAAACCATTTTTTAAGGATATTCCCCATGTTTCCTCAGGGTATTTACAGGGTCTTTGGTAGTGTTAGGGTTCTCAGAGGGACAAAGGTGTTGGGTGATATGCCAACATTCCACTGTTCTTGAATTCCATCTTATTTACAAAGATGATGCTTCTTTTTTTTCTGGGCAGAAATAGGAGAGTTGGGACTCAAGCATTTTGATAAACCGGCTCAGTGTTGGAGTGCTGCCTGGAAAGGCTGTTATCTGTCTGTCTGGCCAGACCCAGGGAATGATGTCACAACTACTGGCCCTTCCCCTGCTTTCACCTGAAATGAAGGAGGGGCCAGACTGAGTCAGGCAAGAGGGGGGTAAAAAACAAGGAAGGAAGCTCTCAGTTGGCATGTGTGTTAGAGGAAGAAATAAGGATTTGGGGATTTCAACACTATTAAAGCCTTTCTAAAGACGGATATGGATGTTCCGGACCCTTCCCATGGGAATATGGGGCTGCTGAGAACCTTTGACTCCTCTGAGTTTGGGAGCTGGGAGAAGATAGGCTCGGGTGGATTTGGACAAGTATACAAAGTCCGGCATGTACAGTGGAAAACATGGCTAGCTATCAAGTGCCCTCCCTGCCTTCATGTAGATGACAAGTGAGTGGGACAGCTATTTTTATTCTGGGATTCATTGTGTGTGGGGGTATGAAGAATGTTGTTTCAAGTATTTAAGCCTAGACTACATGATATCTGTTTGATATCCTCTGTGGGCTTCAGAGTAGAACGTTGTAGTTCTCTGTGATTATGAGTTTGTTCCTCTATCTGAGGGTGTGAGGTATGCTGGGAACTGGGCAGCATGCTTATTCAGCCTTATGTCACAGACTCATGGATGGTGGACATACACTGAGTGTAGAAAACCTTAAGAAGACCTGCTCTTTCCATGACAGACTGACCAGTTGAAAGCTATGATCCCTTATTGATGTCACTTGTTAAATTCACTTCAATCAGTGTAGATGAAGAGGAGCCGCCAGGTTAAAGAAGGATTTTTAAGCCTTGAGACAATAGACATGGATTGCGTATGTGTGCCTTTCAGAGGGTGAATGTTTAAGTGCCTTTGAACAGGGTATGGTAGTAGGTGCCAGGAGCATCGGTTTATGTCAAGAACTGCGACGCTGCTGGGTTTTTCACGCTCAGCAGTTTCCCGTGTGTATCAAGAATGGTCCACCCTGTGGAACGCTTTCAACACCTTGCAGAGTCCATGCCCCAATGAATTGAGGCTGTTCTGAGGGCAAAAGTGGGGTGCAACTCAATATTAGGAAGGTGTTCCTAATGTTTGGTATACTCAGTGTAGCTAACCTCTATCACGAGCAGTTATTGTCATTGCACTTTAAAAGTTTGAGTGTACAACCTAGAAAATGTATCTAGAAATGTGCACGTTATATGAACACCACTCTTCTCTCCTTTGGTCCACCTCCATCAGATCCCATCAGGTTGCCCTTACTACCCTCTGATTGAACGAGGGTCCAGATTGGCCGCCAGTAGTTTTCTCATGGTTTAGAAGGCCACAAATACAGAATGTTGCAATAATGAAAAAAAAAAGCTCAATTTAAATAAAACGAAAAAATGAACTGTGGGAAGCATTGGAGTCAACATGGGCCAGCATCCCTGTGGAATGCTTTTGACACCATGTAATCCATGCCCCAACGAATTGAGGCTGCTCTGAGGGCATGCCCTCTTGCGTGGGTGACCTGTGTCCTTTCACATGTATATCAACAGCAGGAGGAAACTCTAGAGGCCTAGCTCAGCTGTCCCCGTCAGAAGAACATCCTGTCACCATCCTGTCACCCTACCCTATCCTCTTCTTAACGGATGTTTCCACTCCACCATCTTGGATGGAGTATATACCTGAGCCCCCCCGGGAGCCTCAAAGAGGACTATCAACTATTATTTTACTCTGAATATTAGTTTCCTACTTTCTACTTGATTTCAAAATGAACCGCAGTTGATGTGTTAACGATTTACAACACTATCTAAAGAATCTGTACAATATCCTTTCATTCCTTTGGCACAAAATGTGTTGTTTATGAAATGGTGGCTTTACATTCACCAGCAGTGGAGAATATTAGTGCCTTTGAACATTTTTGGTGTCATATCAAATTAATGTTTCTAAAGGTGTCAGAGTAAGAGGTTGGGAACATTGTATTCAAGAGGCTTACAATGTAGAGCACCTTAACCATTCTGACCATCTGTCATTTGAGAGCTTTTACAGCTTTGAAGACAATGATTGGATCAGGTTGCTTCTAAACTTAATTTCACTTGAGGCTATATATCCACAGCCCTAATGCTGAACTTTCTGCTGTTGACAACTTGTTGAAGGATTTCATCACGGTCACAGACACTTATATTACATTTTAGTAATTTAAGGCGATTCCAGCATTATTGGCATTACATTTGCATGCAAATTCACAACTTAAATGTCTCACAGAATGGACAAAATATAAATCAAACTTTTTATGTGTGTCTATAGTACTCCTTGGGGGGAGTGTATATCCAATAAAGCAGACATTGTAAATATTGACATGTTGGAGAAATAAAGCAAATAAGTAGTGTTATGGATGCTATGTGAAATGGACAAGCTTTTTGGGGAGACTGAACATACTTTATTAGCAAAAGTCTGAGTTTGTAAGTCTTGGATTGCGTTTTCGAAGGAAAGGCATGGCTGAACACAAACTATAATTTTTTTTTAAATATTGTTATTTACATTATTACCTTTTAGAGGAAAAACAACCGTTATAGATGTTACAACTTCCATTATGGATGTTACAGAGTCTGAAATACACATTCAAATCTTAAAGATTTATTTATAAAAATCTATCATAACACATGTCATTTGGAATGTTTTTAAAATATCAGCAAAAGGTATACTACCTTAGGATTGCGTAATTACACGTAGCCTGAATAGTATACAAGGCCATGCACCATATCCTAATACATTTTTTCTCTTATATATATATATTTTTTTAAGGAACCTTTACCAGTTGAATTGCAAATGTTTTGAAATATTGCAAGTAAATGTGCAAATAAAACAATCTACATTTTTTGGGGCTTTCATTTGAAAAAGACACTCCAGGACAGTTCACAGATTGTTCATCAACACTTTTCTCATCTTTCTATTTTAAAAAAACAGTACTGCCATGTATGAGAAATGCATTTCAGCATATATATTCCAAGAGAATCTTAGCTAGAATACATCATTTTCAAGATATCAACAATTGCTTCAGTAAAAGTCTGAAGAATACATCCCAGAACAAGCACACAAAATGTGTTGAATGCACAAGCTTCTGAAGCTAAGATATGATACATCAATATCCATCACATCCACAACCGTTATGGATGTTACAGATATCATAATGCTGAAAAAGGATTCTGACAATGAAAAGAGAGAAACCAGTTATAGACCATATAAAACCTTGATTAAAGTTAGCTTTAAAGAGAAAGTTTCAAGATTATCCGATGTAAGGTGCATGTTTTACAAAATAACATAATGGGTGTTACGAGACAGTGAAGACACTACAATTTGGTATGTATTGCTTCATTAACATCTCATCTTTTTAATTAACACTGGGGGGCAGCTGTTAATGGAAAAACAAGCTCCGTGAGTCCCTTCTAAAAGCCATGAAATATGAGGCTTGGCCACCTACTCTGTAATGGTAAAGGTTCATGCAATCACCTACTTAAACCTGTCATATAAAGCCTGAACTCCAACATGTAGACCTAAAAGATAATTATGAATGTGGTTTCATTTTATTTGTTACATGCGCCGAATACAACAGGTGTACTTCATGGCTACAGACGTGAGTGCTACGGGTCGGTAGTCATTTAGGCAGGTTACCTCAGTGTTCTTGGTCACAGGGACTATGGTGGTCTGCTTGAAACATGTTGGTATTACAGACTCAGACAGGGAGAGGTTGAAAATGTCAGTGAAGACACTTGCCAGTTGGTCAGCGCATGCTCGGAGTACACGTCCTGGTAGTCTGTCTGGCCCTGCGGCCTTGTGAATGTTGACCTCTTTAAAGGTCTTACTCACATTGGCTATGGAAACCATGATCACACAGTCGTCCGGAACAGCTGGTGCTCTCATGCATGCTTCAGTGTTGCTTGCCTCGAAGCACGCGTAGAAGTCATTTAGCTCGTCTGGTAGGCTCGTGTCACTGGGCAGCTCGCGGCTGTGCTTCACTTTGTAGTCTGTAATAGTTTGCAAGCCCTGCCACATCCGACGAGCGTTCAAGCCGGTGTAGTACGATTTGATCTTAGTCCTGTATTGACGCTTTGCCTGTTTGATGGTTCGTCGGAGGGCATAGCGGGATTTCTTGTAAACTTCCGGGCTAGAGTCCCGCTCCTTGAAAGCGGCAGCTCTACCCTTTAGCTCAGTACGGATGTTGCCTGTAATCCATGGCTTCTGGTTGGGGTATGTACGTACGGTAACTGTGAGGACGACGTCATCAATGCACTTATTGATGAAGCCAGTGACTGATGTGGTGTACTCCTCAATGCCATCGGAAGAATCCCGGAACAAATTCCAGTCTGTGCTAGCAAAACAGTCCTGTACCTTAGCATCTGCTTCATCTGACCACTTTTTTATTGACCGAGTCACTGGTGCTTCCTGCTTTCGTTTTTGCTTGTAAGCAGGAATCAGGAGGATAGAATTATGGTCAGATTTTCCAAATGGAGGGCGAGGGAGAGCTTTGTACGCGTCTCTGTGTGTGGAGTAAAGGTGGTCTAGAGATGTTTTCCCTCTGGTTGCACATTTAACATGCTGGTAGAAATTAGGTAAAACTGATTTAAGTTTCCCTGCATTAAAGTCCCCAGCCACTAGGAGCGCCGCCTCTGGGTGAGCGTTTTCCTGTTTGCTTATGGCCGTATACAGTTCATTGAGTGCGGTCTTAGTGCCAGCATCGGTTTGTGGTGGTAAATAGACAGCTACGAAGAATATAGATGAAAACTCTCTTGGTAGATAGTGTGGTCTACAGCTTATCATGAGATACTCTACCTCAGGCGAGCAAAACCTTGAGACTTCCTTAGATATCATGCACCAGCTGTTGTTTACAAATATACATAGACCGCCACCCCTTGTCTTACCAGAGGCTGCTGTTCTATCCTGCCGATAAATGACTAACTTTAATTGTGCATGCTCAGGTTGACTTACACTGAATCACACTTTAGCAGACACTCACAAACAGAGTTTGTTGCCTCCTTTTAATTATTTTATTATGACCATTTATTTCACTTCTCTACCCTAATGCTTTTGCACAACATTTACAAAGGAAAATGTCAGATACACAGCACAAGGAGGAAGTTATTTAGCTTCACCAATGACAAGCGTTGACATCCATCTCCAATCCGTGGTAGCTAGACTCATGGCACCCGCTAAACCTGAACTAAAGATGCTATCTACTCGGAACATCTGAAAAGTACATAAACTGTAATTTGCCTGCCTGCACACTGCCTCCACACACTCCTCTGACTCAAAGCCAGCTTTGTCTGACTGGGTCCCAACTGCCTTCTATGCAGACGATGTTTGGTGGAAACAATAAGAGAAGTTGTAGAACCGGTCTTGCTGGGCTCCTCTCCCTTATAAAAAGGGTCATTGTTTGGTTCTGAAGGGTTGTTGAGCTGAGTGTTCAGGATGAAGCCAGGAGATTATGACTGTCAGCCCCTCTCTTTCCCCCCAAATCTCTTAAATACACACATTTGCACTGATTTTTCATGCTTATCAGATTTATTTGATGAGAAGGCTTACACTTTTATTGAACTTGAATGATTTCATAATTGACCCTCCAAACATAAAGAAATGGCTGCCTTAGTGACAGACTACACTTCATCATTTTATCTGCTTCTTCTACTTTTTAAGGTGTTATCTCATCAGCATGCTGATTTGACATTGAATGAGTCCTTTCTAAACCCAAGTCGTTGCTCATCGCCTTTGTAGTGAAGACACTCCCGTACACGCACACACATTATTCATGATGATTAAGCAGTTTATCTGAGTTTGTTTTCAAAGGGACCTCTCCTTGAGATCTCTTTATTGAGGTCAGTGGTGATAGGCTACTGCTCTGTTTGCATCTGCTAGCCTAGCCGGGCTAACACTGATAAAGGTAATAGGAAATTGTGCAAAGGTTGAGCAACAGGACCACAGAGAACAAGAGGTCTGTTGTGTTCATAACTCCACACATATCTGGATGCTTTGGGTTGGCTCTTTATGAGGAATGTCATTAAGGCCTAGCTTCAAATGCGTCATGTCTGCATGGGTTCACTGATTTACTGCACTGTCAGAGAGACTGGTTAATGCATGGGGAATCTCATGCATCTCAGTTTGCTGTCTCCTTGTATTCTCCTGTGTAACAAAGTTGGAATTTGGGTCAATGGTAAAAGGTATTCCAAATGGTGCTGTTTTAACAAGGCTTAGAATACCTGTGTTAGTAAGATAAGAGAACAGCATTTTACGAATTTGGTGTGGATCGAGGGACGTAGATGGATGGGCGGGTTTATGAGGACAGCTAAACCTAAATTCCCTTTACTCTGTACAGTATGAGTTATGTAGTTAAATCTGAACAGACAGGTATACAAGGCCTTTATGCACCACTTGGCGCAATGAAGCCTAAGTAAGTAAGTTAACAGACAGGTATGTCCTCTGTAGGGAGCGAGCGGAGCTGCTGGAAGAGGCTAAGAAGATGGAGGCGGCTAAGTTCCGTTACATCCTGCCAGTGTATGGGATCTGTGGGGACCCCCAGGGCCTGGTGATGGAGTACATGGAGACAGGCTCCCTGGAGACCCTACTGGCTGCTGAGCCTCTGCCCTGGGAGCTACGCTTCAGGATCATCCACGAGACGGCGGTGGGCATGAACTTCCTGCACTGCATGAGCCCACCCCTCCTGCACCTGGACCTAAAACCTGCCAACATCCTACTGGACGCACACTACCACGTCAAGGTGAGAGACGACTGTTACTTGATGTGTTCATTGGAGTTCGCACAGGGCGCTGTGTGGGAAGAACATTTGAGACAATTGTTCCTGAAATACACATTGCATTGGTTCTAAATTGTGAATCTGCCTCTCTGGTGAGGCGGGCGAACTCATCCAAACACTCCTACAGTATTGCTACTGCTTCCATAACTGTTACTACTGCTACTGGTTCAGAAGATTGGTGGTACACGTAGCCACAGTATTATGTCATGGTGTGTTTAATGTTGAGTCATGTTGTGAAGAGCCAATGTAGTAACGGCCTGAGGCTCAGTTGCCAAAGGATTTTAGGCCATCTGCTCAACATAAATGGGTCATTCCACGAAATGAGTCCCTTTTGGGTAGCGTAACTTGGTGGAAAAAAAACATTTGATTTCACAAACATTTTACATTCTGTCATGAAGAGCACATTTATTAACTTTTATTTCATCAGGGGAGCCCATTGAGACCATGGTCTAATTTTCAATGGTGCCCTGAGGACATAAAATAAAATATAGAACTACAAGATACAATAACAAGTACATTACATTAGAACATCACAGGCATCATAAATAAATTAATAGTCAATCAATCAAAACAGTTCCTCAGAAAATGGCCAAAAACAGTAGAACCAGCTCACCTCCTTTTACACTATGATTTGACTATTAGATGTTAAATGTTTCTTTAGAAAAAAATATTTTAAAAGGAATAGTTTCACCATATTAAAACGAGAGTTCAGTTCACATAACAGGGTTAACCTTGTTCCCTTGTTGAAATGACTTTGTCAAAGCAACAAAATAACTAGGGCTTACAATGATGGTGAAAACTTGGGAAAATGCTGGGGTTTAGGCACTTTAGCAAGTCTTTACTGTATGTATAAAAAATCAGATTTATTGAATTTTCCAGGTGATCTATACTAAAGGGCACTTCATTTAATATAACAGGATTTTAAAATTCAATATTGGCGCACAATTTATACTTACAATATCAAAGGGATGCAAAAAGCCACTTATTTCATGGAAGGACCCAAATATGTCAAATTAATACACTGTCTAATGTTAGAAAAGTCCGATTTGACCTAATAGTGAGTATTTAGTAAACCTTCACCCAAATGATGTAGCATGACTCTTTTAACACAACAGCCCAAACTCAAGAGCTTCAAGTCCTTTAATAGGATTGGCTCAAGGATGAATTTCAGCTGACAGGTATCTGTTATTCACTTGAACGTTGCTTTAAATGGCAGTTCTGTTGCACACACATGCTACGGGCAGAAAGGTGTCTCCCACCCAGCCTTCATCCACCTGATCTCCTACCTCCCCCTGCATGACTAATGGTTGGAGGTGGAGGAGAAATGGGTGGGAACCTTCCTTCAACCTGTCTGTTTTAATACCTCCATGTAAACACATAGCCTGGGCCTGTCTTAACAGGCTGAGGTACTCTGCCAACACTGACTAAGTTTGTGTTTGGCTACTCGCCCACACATGTAACTCAGTCAAATAGGGTCTCAACTTCTGACACGAGAGGTAAGGAAAGCATCCACAAGCTAGGACAGGACATGGCTGTGAGGCACCCTCAGGCTAGGACGTGGCTGCCTCTGGCCTCATCATGGATCTGGATGCATAGAATACAATGAGGGCTCAGCCATCAGCTTGAGGGTAAAGTTAGTCATAGGTAGCCATAGCCATAAGAATAATGGGAAAGACTGAGAGTTCCAGTGGGTTCTTGTCTTAATAAGATATGTTCTGTATATCCCCATCTCCCCCTTAGAAATCAGATGTTGGTCTTGTCCTAACAAGCTGTGTTTTGTTCTGTACCTCCCATCTCCCCCTTCAGATATCAGATTTTGGTCTGGCACGATGGAACGGCCTATCCAGGGTTGATGAAATCAGCCGTGACGGGTTCTGTGGCACCATCGCCTACCTGCCGCCGGAGAGCATCATCGAGAAGGACAGGGTGTCAGACACCAAGCATGACGTCTACAGGTGAGTGTCTTCACCTTCACTTCACTCTGTCCTTGTCTGCCAGAGGAGTGGAACGTTGTCTGTTTCATGATTAGTCATGATGTTTGTCTATTCACTTCTTCCCTCCATTGTTTGTTTTACAATATTTGTTTTAATCAATATGAATCTGAATTGGATTTACACTGAGTGTACAAAACATTAACAATACCTGCTCTTTCCATGACATAGACTGACCAGGTGAATCCAGCTGAAAGCTATCATCCCTTATTGATATCACTTATTAAATCAATTTCAATCATTGTAGATGAAGGGGAGGAGACAGATTAAAGAAGGATTTTTAAGCCTTGAGACAATTGAGACATGGATTGTGTATGTGTGCCACTCAGAGGGTGAATGGGCAAGACAAAAGATTTAAGTGCCTTTGAACGGAGTATGGTAGTAGGTGCCAGGCACACCGGTTTGTGTCAAGAACTGAAACGCTACTGCATTTTTCACGCTCAACAGTTTCCCGTGTATCAAGAATGGTCCACCACCCAAAGGACATCCAGCCAACTTGACACAACTGTGGGAAGCATTGGAGTCAACATGGGCCAGCACTCCTGTGGAACGCTTTCGACACCTTGTAGAGTCCATGCCCTGACAAATTGAAACTGTTCTGTGGGCAAAAGGGGGAGCAAATCAATATTAGGAAGGTGTTCCTAATGTTTTGTACACTCAGTGTATATGAATCAGTTATAAGTTATGCCTGGAAAACACATAGTGAGGCAGTCATTCAATCATTTATCACTTTTGATAGTATGCCTTGATACTGAACTGTTATTATTGCCTTCCTGTTACAGCTTTTCCATAGTCATCTGGGGAATTCTCACACAGAAGAAACCTTACCAAGGTGAGACATGTTGAGGAAATGTATGGATATTCTGTTCTCCTGTAAAGACACTTACCGGTACATTTTAGTCATTTAGCAGACGCTCTTATCCAGAGCGACTTACAGTTAGTGAGTGCATACATTTTTTTCATACTGGCCCCCCGTGGGAAACGAACCCACAACCCTGGTGTTGCAAGCGCCATGCTCTACCAACTGAGCTACAGGGGAGGGTTTGTCTTCTAAAATGCACTCATAGTCTTTCTTAAACTCAAAGTGCCAGGTTCCAGGACCACAATAGAGCCCCACAGTGGAGGTGTCATAATACCCATGAAACCTAGCAGTCAAACAGGGAAATGGTTCCAATATTTTTTCCCATATGGAGATTTTAGAAAGGGCTGTGTTTCGTGTAGGCTTACCCTAGCGTGATGTTTTGATAACCATGTAAATCTCTCTCGGACACCTGTGTCTGCAATTTTCCATGTTCCTCCTCCTTCTGTTGAAGGGTATTAAAGATACCAAAGAAGCCAGGGTGGTCTGAGTTAAGTCTACTGCCTCTGTTTGCTTTGAATTATTAACTGACTGGCTGACTGGCTGGTCCCAACGCCTGATAACAAAGAGACCATTAACAGAAGGAAGCCTAAGAGATTTTTTCAGGTCTAGTGTGGGAAACAAACAAAACTTCTATACACCTTCCTTATCTGAGCATACAGAAAGATGTTAATAATGAAGTGTACATACTAGTATCAGTCTTACTCAGATTCGTTTATGTTGCTTCTCTATACTTTCAACAGCACACGATCGAGGCATAATTGATATGATCCAGGCTTTAATTTGTCTTCAGAATAATGTGACCTTAGTAGACCTTATGGACTGAGTTATCATATGAACAGCAGAGAATTGAATGTGTATCAATGTGTCTTATGTCTTGTATTGACTGTAACCATATGTCCTCTATTTCCTCCAGGGGAGAACAACATCCTGCAGATCATGGTAAAGGTGGTAAGAGGGGTGCGCCCTGACCTCAATGTTGTGCCCCGGAGTCGACCCCAGGCCTGCACGGGGTTCATGAGCCTCATGCAACACTGCTGGGCCCCCTCACCTGACACCAGACCCAGCTTCCAGGGTGAGTAGAGACCCAATAGGGCCTATGTCGCTAAAGGGTGGGTGTTTGTGTGTATCTTAAAGCTTTAAAGAAGTAAACTGGGTTAAACTGGGTTGCACAAAGTGATGATGTACTGTGCATAGCTTTCTGAAAAGGTGAAAATCAAACCAAGGGATGCTATTCTGTACACCTGACCAAACATGACCTTTGTTGTTTTCTGTCTGCAGAAATCACATCAGAAGCTGAGGAGCTGTGTTCTAAACCCCAAGAGGAGTCCAAGACCAAAACTCCTGAGCCCGAGAATAACCACTGCCATGGACTAACCACTGACCAGGTATAACCTCCACACAACATTCACTTATATTCCCCTGCCTTCTCCCTCTGTTATTTCTATTGATTTCTATCATCTTCTTCTCCTTGGCACTCCATACTATATAGTGTTCTGTCAGTCTTCTTTGGTGTTCTTCTGTAATGTAATTAGAAAACCCTCTGGAATGTCTGAGGGTCTTTTTATGAGATTGATTTCCTGTGTACTGGACTTGTTATTGTTTCCATAATACATACATAGTCAATGTTTGATCCTGACAAACAGTTTCATCATGAAATAAGAATGCTGTCCAGCAGCATTGTTTAACTTGGTTAACTCTGCTGTGTCACATTCTGAATGCTTGGTGCTGGGGGTACGTGACAAACTGACCGACATCTGTGTAGAAAATATGACAGAATTTCAAATCAAATTGTATTTGTCACATACACGTGTTTAGCAGATGTTATAGCGGGTGTAGCGAAATGCTTGTGCTTCTAGCTCCGACAGTGCAGTAATATCTAACAAGTAAATATCCTACAATTTCACAACCTATACCCAAACACACCGCACCAGGCTGGGAAGACTGAATCTGCAATAGGTAAGCAGCTTGGTTTGAAGAAATCAACTGTGGGAGCAATTATTAGGAAATGGAAGACATACAAGACCACTGATAATCTCCCTCGATCTGGGGCTCCACGCAAGATCTCACCCCGTGGGGTCAAAATGATCACAGAACCACACGGGGGGACCTAGTGGATGACCTGCAGAGAGCTGGGACCAAAGTAACAAAGCCTACCATCAGTAACACACTACGCCGCCAGGGACTCAAATCCTGCAGTGCAAGACGTGTTCCCCTGCTTAAGCCAGTACATGTCCAGGCCCGTCTGAAGTTTGCTAGAGTGCATTTGGATGATCCAGAAGAGGATTTGGAGAATGTCATATGGTCAGATGAAACCAAAATATAACTTTTTGGTAAAAACTCAACTCGTCGTGTTTGGAGGACAAAGAATGCTGAGTTGCATCCAAAGAACACCATACCTACTGTGAAGCATGGGGGTGGAAACATCATGCTTTGGGGCTGTTTTTCTGCAAAGAGACCAGGACGACTGATCCGTGTAAAGGAAAGAATGAATGGGGCCATGTATCGTGAGATTTTGAGTGAAAACCTCCTTCCATCAGCAAGGGCATTGAAGATGAAACGTGGCTGGGTCTTTCAGCATGACAATGATCCCAAACACACCGCCCGGGCAACGAAGGAGTGGCTTCGTAAGAAGCATTTCAAGGTCCTGGAGTGGCCTAGCCAGTCTCCAGATCTCAACCCCATAGAAAATCTTTGGAGGGAGTTGAAAGTCTGTGTTGCCCAGCGACAGCCCCAAAACATCACTGCTCTAGAGGAGATCTGCATGGAGGAATGGGCCAAAATACCAGCAACAGTGTGTGAAAACGTTGTGAAGACTTACAGAAAACGTTTGACCTGTGTCATTGCCAACAAAGGGTATATAACAAAGTATTGAGAAACTTTTGTTATTGACCAAATACTTATTTTCCACCATAATTTGCAAATAAATCCAATACACACAAAACTAGTAAGGAATGGAATTTAAGAAAATATACATATATGGACAAGCAATGACAGAGCGGCATGGACTAGGATACAGTAGAATATTGTAGAATATAATGCAGTATATACATATGAGATGAGTAGTGCAAGATATGTAAACATTATTAAAGTGACTAGTGTTCCATTTCTTAAAGTGGCCAGTAATTTCAATAGGCAGCAGCAGCCTCTAATGTGCTAGTGATGGCAGGTGTTATTGTGCAATGTGTGAAAATGATATATTGGTGAAGATGATAAACAGTCGGAGAAAGGCATGAAGACTGGGTTTGAGAGGGAAACTATTCAAAGGCCCAGTGCTGTCAAAAACGTGATTTTTCCAGTGTGTTTTATATATATTTCCACTCTATGAGGTTGGAATAATGCTGTGAAATTGTGAAAATTATGATAATGCAGAGACCGATCAGGCCCAAGTCGGCCATGCTGCCAGAGAAAGACTACAGCCTATCAGAGCTGCTGAGCCAGGTGGACTCTGGGATATCTCGGAGCTTTGACCGTGTGACGGAGGACTGCTGTCCCAGCAAAGACAACACCAGCAAGAGACTGTCTGGGATCTCCTCTGTAGACTCTGCCTTCTCCTCTCAAGACTCCATCACCCTCTCCTTTGAGAAAGAGAATACCTGTGGTAAGACTGGCTGCTATGGTGATGGTAGTCAATACATTGTGGCATTGTCTATGGTTTTCTTTAACAGATGACAGGAATTCTCATTTCTCAGGGTGTTATATCCTACATATAAGTAGTACAGTTCTGAATTACTTCTGGAGCATGTGGAGTGTCTCTTTAACTTTAGGACAGTTTCTTTGTCGTTTTGGCCCAGACTCTATACTGTATCTTCTATCTCCTTGTTGTTTAGACTCAGGGGAGGTGCAAAGGAGGAAGCTGTGTGACGCCATCCGTACCAAAGACATGTCCAAGCTGATGAAGATCCTGCAGCCTCAGGACGTGGACCTTTTATTGGAGGGCGGCTGCAGCCTGCTCCACCACGCTGTCACGCAGGCCAACGAGGAGGCCGTCAAGTTCCTGCTCCTCAACCACGCCAACACCAACCTGGCCAACGCTCGCGGCTCCACACCCCCTCCACCTGGCCACCGAGAAACACCTGAAGGGCCTGGCCGAGCTGCTGCTGGGCCGTCGGAGTACCAACGTCAACGCCCGGGACGAGGACCAATACACGGCCCTGCACTGTGCTGCTCAGAACGGGGACGAGGCCATCACCCGCCAGCTGCTGGACCGCGGCGCCTCCATCAATGAGACGGACGCCCAGGGTCGCACGCCTGCACACATCGCCTGCCAGCACGGCCAGGAAAATGTGGTCAGGGTGCTGCTGAGCCGAGGTGCAGACGTCCACGTGAAGGGCAGAGACGACTGGACGGCACTTCACTTGGCTGCCTGGCAGGGCCACCTGGGCATTGCCAAACTGCTGGTGAAGCAGGCTGGGGCGGACGTAGACGGGCAGACCACTGATGGGCGCACGCCGCTGCATCTGGCCTCCCAAAGGGGGCAGTACAGGGTGGCAAGGATCCTGATAGAGCTGGGGGCAGACGTCCACATGACCTCCATGGGCCTCCACACCCCTCTGCATGTGGCGGCTGAGACAGGCCACACCAGCACCTCCCGCCTCCTGGTCAAGCACGATGCAGAGATCCAGGCCCGGACTGCCCAGGGTCTTACCGCCCTCCACCTCGCTGCCCAGCGTGGCCACTTGCCCACAGTGAAGATGCTGATGGAGGAAGGGGCAGATCCCTACTGCACCAATCAGACCCTGCGTACCCCCTGCCACCTGGCAGCAGAAGGGGGCCACTGTGAGGTCTTCAAAGAGCTTCTGGTCCACTGCCCTGAGGGTGTCAGTCTATCAGACGAACAGGGCCTCACCCCTATGCACCTGGCTGTGAGGGGAGGCTACACAGATATCACCAGCATGTTGCTGGCCCAGGGGGTGGAACTATCACTGGAAGTACCACAGGACTCCATCTCCCAGCATACACAAGAGTCACAACAAGACTCCATAACCCTACCACAGGAAGTACTACAGGACTCCATACCCCTGCCACAGGATGTACCACAGGACTCCATCCCCCAGGACACACTGCATCCAACAGCAGAGGACTGCCCAAAGCTCCTGGCTCGTTGGCCAAGCCAGTTGGCCTTGCGGCTCCAGAGGAAGGTTGTAATCTTGAAACTGACGGAGCGTGAGGGTAACGAATGTCCAGAGTCCACTGGTGCACTGTGAGCCTCGGCCCTCTGCTGAGAGGAGTCACCTTGTGACTGGATTGTACAGAACTGTCCTGGAATTGAAAACAGTCAGGGATCTCTTCTATTCCCTTCCCAATTTATGTGGTGGGAGAGGTGTCCAAGCTATAGAGACCAGCTGTTGTATTGTGATTTTTTTGTACATAGTATTTCTGATTGATCATTTTTTGATTGATTGTGTGTTATTATTATGTCAGTCTTTGATTGATCATTCAATGCCAGATGTTATGAGCATTTGGTGCTTTGGGCTTCTCAAAGCCCCTGTTAGCTTACTTTGGTATCTTGTCAGGGAAGGAACACTTTAATGTAAATACACTGTATATAGAACCATGAGCTCATTTAGATCACCTTGACTTTTTTCCTTCATGTTAAATATAGACTCCATGTAACGTTTTCCCCCTTAATAGTGTAACTTTTCTACTTTGCATATGCACATTCGTACATTCATGGCCGTCCGTACATGTTAGACATCTGTGGAATGCCAATTTTTATTTTTATTTCCCATCTACTTACTCTAGCTGGTATGTTTAATCACGTCCATAAGTTATATTCTCTAATAAAACAAGTGTCATTACAAGTGTGAGTTTGTTTGTTGTGAGTGTACTCACGTGCACCTGGAAGAATGGGCTTGTCTATATCTGCCGCTGGCTTTATTCTTATCTGTGCCTCCTGCCTATTCCCCAGACCCCACAGAGCATGCTCAACTTGGCACCAACCATGGGAACTGCCCTCGGGGGGGATCACAGGCCAGGCAGGTGGGAGTGGGGTGGGGTGAAGAGGGGGGGAACATGCCTGCCTTTCCAGGCTGTTGGCTCATTCCACAGACCACTTAAACTCCTAAACCTCACTCTCCTTAACCAACATGACATTGTTGATGCTTGTAGGGCTGGTCCTCTTGAGGAGTCGTAACCTGAGTCTGAAGCCCTCCTGAGCTGAGCCCTGTCGAGCCTTGTAATTGCCCTGTTTTTACAGCTCATGTTTGCGGAGTCCCGCAAATTTGACTGGTGAGTTTTGTGTAATCAGAGGCTTTGTTTTGTGTCTGTGTCTATCTCACCTGTTGCCAAGTGATCCTCAGTGGTGTGCCATTACTCAATCTTCCCTCGCTTATCATGTCATTCCTTCACTGTACCCTTTCTACATACTGTACACAGTAGCTTGTTATTCAAGTACACTCCCTCTACTTGCACTGTGCACACTCTTATAGTGTTTGTTGAATAAGTAAGTAGAGCACATTATTTAAATGGATTTGACTCTTTAAACCTCTCATGGGAATAACACCCACTGCTATGACTCATTGCTCCCTCTTAAGGATGCTCATCTCTACTTCATCTTTTGATTGTGTCAAGATTATTCATATTGTGTTAATGTGCAGAAAATGTTCCCTCTGATCCCTGGGCCTCCAGCAGTCGCTGCATGCAGGCCTCTAGGTCCTCCTGGTCCAGGGAGTGATCCAGGGTGGAGGGACACTGACTCCTGCCTGAACCCTGCTGTGCTGGGCTGGGCTGGACAACATCCCCTGTAGTACCGGAACACTCAGCCCCAGCCTGCTGGCTGGGTTCAGCCTCCAGCTCAGTGGAAGATCTTCATAGCCTCTTCCAGGGAGGTGACTGCAGGCAAGGAAATGTCCCCTAACCCATGCAGGGGCAGGCTGGGGCCGGTGATCTGGGTCAGACGGCCCTGGGAGACTATTGCAGCCCTGAGGCTATAGCTCTGAAACTGTAACAGAGGGCTGCTGGAGTTTACCTGGAAGGGACCTGCTCTGGCCTGAGAGAGGAGGCCAGTGGGGGCTTGTTGGGGCGCTGTGGAGAAAATAGGGTACATCCTAGCATCCATGGATCCTCCTGTGAGATGGGGCCTGTAGGACCAGGGGACCCCAGCCTGGTTGGCCACCCTATAGGACTCAGGCCTCCACTGTGCGGCACGCTGGTCTTGGTATAGCTGGTGCTGAGGCAGCCAGTAGGTAGCACTGTACTGGGCAGACACCCGCTGGGCCTGGGGGCCAGAATGGGATCGGTGGCCAGAATGGGATCGGTCCCTGTCTGTGGGTAGTACACCTGGGGAGGACTGTGGAGCCACATGTATGGAGCCTGCATCTAGACAGCGATGAAACACTAGACAGCGACAAATATGGAATGCCAACAAAGGTTCTCCCTGAATTTGCAGCACATTTTTGTTACCAAGCAAGTTACTTTCACTTGAATTACTACCAATTAGGTTCAAGAGATAGCTAGGTGTCACCTGGAGGTCAGTTATTCTGATTGGGAAAATATTTTTTTTCGAGGTAGGGAATGGAGACATGGCACTTTCTTTCAAGAGTAGATGGTGAATGACCATTCACTTGGTTTTGTTGTAATTCAAGTGATTTCTGAACATTCTGTTTGGCATCATTCCTGGGGCAACTGTGTTCTATGGATGGAGGCCCTTAGGACATAAGAAGATTCTGGTGGGAGAACTATTTTGTTTTTTTGTGATTCAAATGATTTCTGAACATTCTGTCTGCTATTGTTCCAGTGGAAACTAAGTTCTATTGATATTTTGACATTGTAAGATTCTAAAAAAATGTCACTATGAATCATATAATCTCTAATAGTAGTCTGATCCATCCTAAGGTGAATAACCCTATACTGTATTTAATTGGAAACAAGACAGTTATTGTCTGCCCTCTCTGTGTAGTCATCTGGCTAGCAGCCTGGCCTTTTCCTGTCAAGGTCTGTCTCAAAGGTCATGGGACTTCATCCCTGGAAGATGCTGGTACAGGTTGTGCTCACCTGGATGCTACAACAGGGACTTTTTGTGAGGAGTTGAGTGACACCTCAATGGCAGGAGACCCATCCCCAAACCCTTCACTGAGCCTAACGGCTGAAATGATGCAAGCCCCCTTATTTGTAATCTCATCAGACATAACTCTGATGAAATCTGTGAATGTATTGTAATGTTTTTTAAATGGTATAACTGCCTTAATTTTGCTGGACCCCAGGAAGAGTAGCTGCTGCCTTGGCGATCTAGACTGACCCGCTTCTGAAATAAAATATACCAAATAAAGAGAGTGATTTCAGAAAGCAATAATCTTAAACAGTGGTAACATAACAGTAGCCTAACATCTTTTATACACTCACTAGCTGGCTGCTCAGAGCTAAAATGATCACATGGCCACTGAAAGCTTTTCTAACCTGACAGAACTCGTCTAACCAGATCTGAGCTGGTGTCTCTAAAGTTGTGAACAAGCAGCAACCTGTAGACTAGAGATCGCCCTGGGGTTACAATGTGGGTGCACTGAGGCAGTGATGATGAATTCCTGTAGATTTATGGCTGGATATGTAGATGCTAAAAGCACCACGTTGAACTCCTGAAAAGTTACTAATTGACAGAGTCGAGCGGCAGAGAGAGAAGGGGGTTGGAAAGCTAAAAGTTTAATGGTTATTTCTGCCGCGGTGGATAAACAAACATGTTACTGTATATCTTATTATTGATGTACATATTTTCAATTAATTTAACATTATTTACAGATTAAAATAGTACAATATTTTGCTTTTGTAGTTGTATGCCCACATTTGATGTCTGTCTGCATAAGTCATTTGAGTTGTTAATCCTCTTCCAAACCAAGTGCTTCTTCATAGTGAATGAGATCCATTTGGGGTGCTAGATACATAAGTATTTTCCCTAACTTTCCCCCCTAATAGGCCTGTTGAGCAGAAAATGAAAATGTCCAGTTTACCCCACCTGTTGGAGGTCATCAGAGACTTTGTTCAGGTTGTGTACCTGTAGCACTTTCTCTGACCATGAGGGGGCTCTGTTACCCTATCTTTAAGATGTGTTGTCCACGTTAACATGTTTATTTTTTTCATTTTATTTTACCTTTATTTAACTAGGCAAGTCAGTTAAGAACAAATTCTTATTTACAATGACTGCCTACACTGGCCAAACCCGGACTGCGCTGGGCCAATTGTGCGCCGCCCTATGGGACTCCCAATCACGGCCGGTTGTGATACAGCCTGGAATCGAACCAGGGGGTCTGTAGTGACGCCTCAAGCACTGAGATGCAGTGCCTTAGACCGCTGCGCCCATGTGTCTTAATATATGATTTATATAGAGAAAAAATATAATATTAGCATAATGGTACATTTGTTATGGTTGAAAACCTACTCGATTACACCCGTTCCTTGAAGCTACAGCTGTTTATGTTTTAGTCCCTATAATAAAGGTAAAGATGATCGCTACTGAACAAGTAATTCAACATTAATCAGAGTTCTTTGATTTTAATGGGGAAGGCATAGATCTGGTTTGATCAAGCAGAATCATTCAGACAAACGGCTCTTTATTCTGGTGCCAAATTGGAGGTGCTGTGTGTAGTTTCCATGATGCCGGAATGAGATGAAATACTAGAACAAGCTGGTGCATGTCACGTTTGAATGACCATTGTCAACATGCCCTGAAATATATACAATAGCAGGCTGCAGTGAATCAATATAGGCTGCATTGTTTTACTGGAAAAACATGTCTCTGTGGACCTGATTAGCCATTAAGCCACATTCAAGACATATTGTTGCCATATAATCATTGAACAGCAGCAGATCTCTGTATGTGAAGGTCCATGTGTTTTGGCATTAGACTTGAGTCAATTTGTAAAATGAAAACTGCTTAGGAATACATTCAGGTGACGCTCCTGTAGTAATTTGCATTATATAGGCCAACTCATGGTGGCCAGGGTGTAGTAAGGAGGCCTAACAGAGAAGGCCGGAGATATAATCACTGCTTGTCAAGGGGATCATATATTTACAGCACCACTCCATAATGGGACATAAGGCCCTCTTTTATATACTGCTTAGGTTATGCAGCTCTTTGTCTTCATTATTTCCTAATGCAGTGCTGTGGGCGGATACAAGTGTAATTGCATGTCATTGTAAGGTTGTAAATGGAGAGGTTTGGCCAACGGGAGTGGGAGGAACTTGCATAATGCAGAGATTATTTTGAAGTACAAAGCTTCTCCTCCAGACCCACACATCATCTGTAGCCTGGTTCCAGATATGTGTGCATTGTTTTGCCAACTCCTATGGTCAGGCATGACAACCCACTGGGCACACCAATTCATTTCAACGTGGAAAATTGTGTAATATTTGGTTGAGACATTGATCAATGAGATTTCAACCTTTATTCATTCACCCACTCAAAAACACAGCCAGAAGTTTGTTGAATTCTATGCTATGTCTATGCTTTCAACCATCTAAAAGCACAACCAAAATCCTATGGAAAAACCATGTCTGATTTTTGGTTTAGTTGTCATCTAAATGTGTTATCACTGCACTTTCAACCATTTTAAAAGTACAACAAAGTTGAAATGGGAATACAGTGTCAAATATTTTGTATTTAAACAACAACTTAATGTGTTATTACTGTGCTTCATCTAATAGCGCAACCAAATGACCTGGATTACAGTTGAGTTTACTTTAAAAGTACATAGTGCAAGTGATCAATGCTATTCGAGATTCTGTGCAGATTATTATAGCAATTGGACATGCAAGCTTTCTATGATTAAATAAGAAGACATTTATAGTTACAGTATTTTAAGGTTAAATAAATACTGTTACATTATTAAGTAAGTATTGGGCGCCGAGAGGCGCAGTGGTCTAAGGCACTGCATCGCAGTGCTAGCTGTGCCACTAGAGATCCTGGTTCGAATCCAGGCTCTGTCGTAGCCGGCCGCGACCGGGAGACCCATGGGGCGGCGCACAATTGGCCCAGCGTCGTCCAGGGTAGGGGAGGGAATGGCCGGCAGGGATGTAGCTCAGTTGGTAGAGCATGGCGTTTGCAACGCCAGGGTTGTGGGTTCGATTCCCACGGGGAGCCAGTATGAATAATAATAATAATGTATGCACTTACTAACTGTAAGTCGCTCTGGATAAGAGCGTCTGCTAAATGACTAAAATGTAAGATAGCCTTAACTTTAGGCTATTTACTGTATTACAAAAGAGATCATGAATTGTGTTTGGTTGTCAATGTATCCAAATATCAACATTTGATGGAGATGTATCTTTTGTGCCACTGACTTAAGAACACATTAAGAATGGATATGTTGGATTCACGTCTCCATCTCAACCAAAAATCTAAGTTAAAGAATAGGACTAAATCAAATCAAAGTTTGATTTGATGTAGTCCTATTCTTTAACTTAGATTTTTGATTGAGATGGAGACCTGAATCCAACATATCAATTATGAATTTGTAGACAACCCAGATTTAAAGCCAGACTAAGTCAGTGGCACAGATGCAACTATCCAAGCAGAAGATGCAACCAAATATCAACATTTAAAGGAGATGTATTGTTAACTATGCAGTATGACATTTTTTTATAATAATGTATGCTCTGGATAACAGCGTCTGCTAAATGACTAAAATGTAAAATGTAATGAACAATTAGCTGATATAGCAACTACTGAATATGAAACAGGGGAATTACTATCAGAACCCGAATTAATCAATCAAAGATTCTCCCGATTCTATAAAGAACTGTATACCTCTGATTGTAAATCCACACCAAGCCAGACTAAGTCCTTTCTAAAATAATTAAGAACTCCTCTTCTCTCAACAGAGGAAGCCACCTTGCTGGGAGCCCAAATCTCTCTCAATGAACTCAAAAGGGCATTGGATAACATGAATAAAGGCAAATCACTTGGATTGGACGATATTCCTTCTGTTTAAAATGTTTGAATAAATTAGGTCCATATTGCTCTAAACGATTTAATACAGCTGTTAACAAATGTTAATTTGGGAGATGTGAACACCACTCATTTGGCTCTTATTAAAGAAAGGTAAGGCCGCCACCTAGTGTTCTATCTTTGATAAACACAAATATTAAAATGTTTTCCAAAAATGTTGTTGAGACATACTTACCCAAATTGATCCACACGGACCAAAGCGGGTTTGTTGAAAAGCGTTTATCCTCGGATAACCTCCGTTGACTATTACAAACACTGCATTACCAAAAGTATGTGGACACCTGCTCGTCATACATCTCATTCCAAAATCATGGGCATTAATATGGAGTTGGTCCACCCTTTGCTGCTATAACAGCCTCCACTCTTCTGGGAAAGCTTTCCACTAGATGTTGGAACATTGCTGCGGTGACTTGCTTCTATTCAGCCACAAGTGCATTAGTGAGGTCGGGCACTGATGTTGGGCGATTAGGCCTGGCTTGCAGTCGGCATTCTAATTCATCCCAAAGGTGTTCGATGGGGTTGAGGTCAGGGCTCTGTGCAGGCCAGTCAAGTTCTTCCACACCGATCTCGACAAACCATTTCTGTATGGACCTCGCTTTGTGCACGGGGCATTGTCATGCTGA